TACTGATGGCGGTGAAATATATGGCATAATATGATGGTATAATAATACGCTGGAGGGTTGGTATCTTACAAATTATGGAAAGATTATTATATAGAATACGCGTTGTACTATTTTTCACTTGGCTGAGGTTTTGTTCCATTGGGTTTTACTAGCAAGGTTTTTAATGAGACAACATGGATGGCGTATTCACATGAATAATGTACTCTTTTTCTTTCATTAGGATTTTGTTCCACTAGGTTTTTCCTAATATAGTTTTAACGAGGCATATTTATGGTATAATGAGGACTACTGGATAACTGATATAATTCCTCATGAGATAAGAATACATTGGAGTAGCTATACTCTTTTTCCTTCAATCAAGTTTTTTTCTCACTGGGTTTTCTTAACAAGGTTTTAACGATGTAGAACATGGATACTTCACTAAAGACAGGGACGGATTCTCCATTGGCCTGGGCTGGGCTGAAGCCCAGGCCCGTTTTTTTTTTTTTTACACCTAGTAACTTATTTTTTTTTTAATTCTTCTCTAGCCCAGCCCCTACTCCAGCCCCTAGCTCAGCCCAACCAAAATATAATAAACAATTAGGCCCAATTTCCCATCCCAAACGTTCATTTATCTGAGGGACCAAGNAAAAAAAAAAAAAAAATCTTCACAAATCATAAACCCTAGATAATCTATTTTCTACAATGAGTGAATCCTCAATTTGATTCTGATTTCTAATTTTTACACTTCTGATAGGTATTGCTAATTGCTATATTTTTGTATTGTACATGTTTTTTTGCCTTTTTTTTTCATGTTCTGTAATTTAACTTTTGTTGGATTATTTTTTTTATTTTTTATTTTTGGTTGGATTAGTTATCTTATTAAGTTCATGACTTCATGTGACACTTGCTTGCAAAGGGAGAAAAAAATGGTGTAATGAGCTTTGATTATTGTGTAAGATCCATGATTTAGTGATTGGGGGATTTTCTGGATAGGAAAAGAGAAATTTGAAGGATTTCTCATTTCTTCTATCATGTTTGTTATGGCCTTAATAGGGGATTTTCTTTTATAGATTTTGCACTTTTGGTTTTGGTAGATAATTTATTTATTGTTATTTTTGAATGGTTGATCGTAGGTATATAATGTAGAAATGATTAGTTCAAATGTTTATATTTCAACTCATATTTGACTTGAATAAATAAATGATCATATTTGGCTTATATTGGTATTGTGAAATTTTCAGAAATTCTCATGGAACACCAACCATCGGCCAAAAAAGAGAAAACTCCATTAATATCCTCGTTCTTTAAGAAACGGGATCGTCAAACTAGTGAAAGCACATCAAATACAGTGAAAAATGAGCATAATGAATCTCCTTCGCCGCACATCGCTCCAATTCTCCCAGAGCCGGATTTGAACACAACTACTCATATTGAGCGAGATCCGGGAAACAGAAAGCAAATAAGTGAATATCCCGTTCACCTCAGAGATGGAATTAGACGGGAATATTTAAGAGCGGGACCTTATCAACCGAAAATGGAAACATATCCGACCACACAATTTGGTGCCCAAAACCGAAGCTTCCAAAAAAGGTGGTTTGATAAATTTAATTGGATAGAATATTCGCCCACTACGAATAAAGCCTATTGTTTTTATTGTTTTCTGTTCTTAAGTGAAGTTAATATGCATAACACTTCATCCTTAGTGAAGAAAGGATTTCAAAATTGGAAGCGAATAAGTCAAGGAGATAAATGTGCATTTCTTACTCACATTGGTTCTACAGCTTTATCACCTCATACTATGTGTGTTAGACGAGCAGAGGATTTGATGAGGCCCTCCGAACATAAAGATAAAGTCTTGTATGCCCAGTCGAAAATTGAAAAGGAGAGAAATCGTTTAGAGTTCAATTATGAGTGTTCGATGGTTAGCACTTCAAGGTTGCTCCTTCAGAGGGAACGGCGAGTCATCTTCTTCTTCAAACCGTGGAAATTTTATTGAACTGATCAAGGCTTTTGCTAGTATGAATGCCAAAGTTAATGAAGTTGTGTTGGAGAATGCACCAAAAAATGCTCAATACATTGCTCCAGAAATTCAGAAGGAGATTCTAAATATAATGGGCAATAGAGTACGCCAAATGATTCGTGAAGAAATTGGAGATAAGCATTTTTGTATTCTTGTTGATGAAGTGCAAGATATATCAAAAAAAGAGCAAATGGCCATTATTTTGAGGTTTGTCAACGATAGTGGAACATTGACTGAACGTTTCTTTGCAATTAAAAGTGTTACTGATACCACTTCGTTAAATTTGAAAAAAGAGATTTGCGGCGTTCTTTCTCATCATTGTCTCAATGTTAACAAAATGAGAGGACAGGGATATGATGGTGCTAGTAATATGCGTGGTTCGTGGAATGGTCTTCAAGCCTTATTTCTCAAAGATTGCCCATATGCTTATTACATTCATAGTTTTGCACATCGTTTACAATTGGCATTGGTTTCTGCTACAAAGGATGTTAGTGTTATTTGGGAATTCTTTTCTCACTTGGATAATGTTGTTAATATCATTACTTCTTCACCAAAGCGTGTTTCTGAGTTGCGAGCAGCTCAAAGACAAGAAATTGAGAATCTATTAGCTAATGGAGAGCTAGACTCAGGAAGTGGTGCCAACCAAACTAGTAACTTGCAACATGCTGGTACCACTCGTTGGAGCTCTCATTTTAACTCTGTGAAGAGCTTGATTGATATGTATGCTGCCACTTGCAAAGTGTTTGAATATCTCATAGAGCACTGTCCGAGTGGAAGATCTAAGGCTGAAGTTCGTGGGGTTTATAGAAATATGGCAACCTTTGAATTTGTGTTTGTCTTGCATTTGATGCACAAAATTTTCAGAATCACAGATACTCTTTGCCAGATACTTCAAAGAAAAACTCAAGATATAGTGACGGCTATCACATTTGTGTCTACCACAAAAAATGTTCTTCAAGATTTGAGAGAATCTGGTTGGGAGACATTTCTTGAGGATGTCAAAGGTTTTTGCTCCAAAAACGGTATTGATATTCTGAACATAAATGACTTTTATAAGGTTGGTCGGACATACCACAATTGAACATCATTACCACTTTGACATTTTTAATGAATCGATTGATTTCGTTTTGATGGAGTTGAACGTGCGGTTCAATGATACCTCTATCGAACTTCTTTCGCTCACTGTGGCTTTGGATCCTAAAAATTCTTTTGAATCATTTAATAGTGATGATATTTGCAAGCTCGCGAGAAAGTTCTATCCGGAAGATTTTACAGCTCAAGATATTGTGACTTTGGAATATGAGTTAATTCATTATAAGCATGATGTGCTTAAGATTTTTCAGGCATCTATGCTCGTTGAATTGTGCCAAAAATTAACGGAGAGTGGAAGATCGAAAGTATATGTTATGTTAACTAGATTGATCCATCTAGTTCTAACGTTACCGGTTTCTACTGCTACAACCGAACGAGCCTTTTCAGCTATGAAAGATGTGAAGACAGCACTTCGTAATAAGATTGGCGATGGTTTTCTCGAAGATTGTTTGATTCTCTTCACCGAGCGGGAGTTTACTAATAGTATAAGTATAGATTCTATTATTGATGAATTTTATTCTGTAAAAGCTCGTCGAGCGCAACTTCAGTAAATATTTGATGAAAAAATATTTTATAAAAATGTGTATTTAAAATTCTAGCCCGGTCTACTCTTAATTTCTAGATCCGTCCCTGACTAAAAATGATCTATTTGAGGGGGAGCAAAGTTGTGCATCCACAATACTCAAGTTTTATCCCACCAGGTTTTCCTAAGGGAGCAATGTGATTCCATAATGATCAGGTTTTGTCCCACTGGATTTTCTTGACAAGCTGAAGCAGTGGTATCTGATGGCAATAAGATGTACTTCAATATGTTCAAATTGGGTTTTGTTCAGATCACTTCAAATATATTTGAAAATAGTCATTCGATGGGGAGTATTATAAAAAATTTATTTATTAGGATAAGTTATGAATTATTGATAGGGGTTATGAATTATTATTGATAGAAAATAATAAAAGTAATATATATGAATGACTATCTTGCCCTTGATGTAATTGTATTGTTACGATGGTGTCATCAGAAGTTTTTCTATAAATAGTAGCTTCATTTGTAATTAATTAAAATATACCAAGAGAATATACCCTCTCTATTATTCTCTCTAGTTTTATAACAATTTTTACTTCTTTTCATATCTTGTTTATTGTGATTGAAACCCGTATTTATCCATATTTGTGATTGATTTTAGATCGAAATGATATATTTGATTGTGAAATTTGCAACGTAAGAGACTAAATAGGCCGAGAGCGTGATAAAATCTTGTGAGAAAATTAAAATCTTACTAACCGAAGGAGTTAGTTGTTTATCTTGAGACCGATATGAGATAAATAGCTATTAATCTATGATATAACATGGAGTGAGAGAAGTTAGTCGATTCTTAAGTAGAATTGCTGAGTTTGTAGCACTAGTAGAAAAAACACTTTTCACATCGGGTGTTTACATCGGTTTTTTCACAACCGATGCAAAAAACACTTTTTACATCAGTTGTAACATCGGTTTTTACAAAACCGATGTAAATCGTCATCAGGCGCATCGGTTCTTATAAAACCGATGTGAACAATTTGGTATAAAATATTATTTACATCGGTTCTATGTACAACCGATGTTAAAAATATACACCCCTACCGTTTAAGCTCACAATAAACTTAAAGATGAAAATTCAAACTCACAAACTGAAAGATGAAAATTTAACTATAGGTAAAATATATATGTAGCAAATAAGTGCATATGCACACGCCACATTGCATTGGAATTCTATTACATATTTCTTAATCTGGAAAGATTATGTAAGGAAGACATAAACACAAAAGCTGAATGGGACAATGCATAAAGAAAGTGACGACTATCAAGTAGCCTTATTTAAGCATCGTTTTAATATATAAAATCTCAAAACTCGCACTACTACATAAATTACTGGCATGTAGGGGGGGTCACACCAGTTCCCGTTACATTCCTGCATGTATAACAATAATATTCATTAATGTAACATCAAATACTAAAACACTATGATGCATATAAGTATAACACATAATTAAATATTTTATCCATTTATTTATTCCACTTAAATAATTCCTTTACGTGTGATGCAATTAATGAGTACTAAAACAATGTCAATTTAAAATATTAAATGGAAGAACATAGAAATGGAGATTTTGATTAAAAAAAAACTTATTATCTTATTTTTTAGTGTTGTTGAATGTAACGAGTCGAATTTACGTACGTTCAAGCCCAACTCGGCTCACTTGATAAGCGGGTGGAGCTTGAGTATGAGCTCGGCTCGTTTTTATTTTTTACAAAAGAGTCGAGCTCGACCTCATCTAAAACTCGTTTAATAAACGGCTAAACTCTTCTCGTTAAGACTCGAAAATAAAGATTTTGTGCAGTTTTCTATAGCTCGTTTCATTATTATTGATGAATGAAACTTGGATACTTACTTAACTGCAAGCTTTGGGCTACACGCCAGGTCATCAGGTAAGGTACCTGATAAACCCGTATTATCATTTAGCCGACTGTCCTTGCAAAAATTAAAGACACAAGTCGTAAGATAGATATATAAAGAGATATCACATTAAATAAGGTTGTAGTTGTAATTAAATTCACACGTACAGGAATTTCAAAGTATTCTTCAAATTTGCCAACTCCTGTGGAAAATCGCCAGTGAGTTCGTTGTCGTAAAGGTCCAAGCTGACCAACTGAGTAAGTTGTCCAAGCTCCGATGGTATAGTCCCATTTATCTTATTCATGTATACCTCCCTATTAATAGTAATTCACACCAAATCAATTAATCAAATCAAAGCAAACAATAGAAATAGTTAGTTCAACTAAAACAGTTGTCACTCAAAACAATATATAGAAATTGTGTGTTGTGAACTAGCATATAAAACTTATCATTATTCGCAGCATAATATATGCACTATTAATTGTATTTGCAAATAATCCATCACGTGATTGAACTAACATCTTTTCATAAAAACGTAAAGTGTACCCAGTAATTTGGGCATAGTTTACAACATTCTGTAATTAGTTAGAGAGCAGTTTTTGCTTGATTTCTACACTTTTAAACAATGTTGTGTTCCATTTTCAACAATTACTTGGCATTTTGTGCAATCGCATATGCCTTAAGTATATTTACAATTTTTTCAAACATATATTGAAAATTGCGACAGACCTTAATTTAGGTCTTGTGCCCTTTTAAATGAAAATTATTCCTCTGCTAATATTCTTTTTGAACAACCTTTATGTTTCTTATTTCATTGCAACTAATGTTATATTCATTCTCATTTTCGTGCACCAATACGATCATCCAAATCAAATTATTGACATATGTAAACAATAATATAGAGAATGATAATATTTTTTTCGCAAATAACACATACAAATATTGCAGGTTCGTCAAATTTCCGAGTTCGGGAACCAATGGCCCAGATAAACCCATATTGCCGAGATCACTGACAAGAAAATTGGATAAGAAAACATATGATTAGATTAACATCTCATAATCCCATCTAATCAATGTCAGAAATGAATGGCACGAATCTATAAATCTATTTCATTTGGGATTCGTCAACAAAACGTACAAATACTTGCAATTTAACACAAAAACGAAAGATGAAAGGAACATTGATGCCATGCTTACATTCTTATTACATTGCTTGAGCCGTCGCATGTTACATGGAAACATGTGCAAGGGTTGACAAGAGTAGAGTCCCAGCTGTTTAAATTGCCATCAGGATCACTTAGGGCTTGCCTGAAGGCGTATAAGGCCTCAACTAATTAAACAAACACATAAACACCAGAAACTAATTAAAGGATCAATATATAAGCCCATTACATATCATATGATCATAAGGTGAAAATGCATTTTATTCCATCAGTTCTCTCGTTTTTCCATTTCGACCCACTACTTTTTTTTCGGATTTCAGTATAGTACAACAACTTTGATTTTATGTACATTTGCATCCGCTAACGTGCGCTAAAACTCTAAAACTAAAATTTATGTTAATTACCGACACGAGGCCTAAAACAAAAGAGATTTTGTAGGCAGAAAGGGGCTAATTAAATATTACTGTAACAACCAAATTAAAACTAAATCGGTAGCTGCGAACTGGGAGAAAATCTCAAAAAGTTTTGAATGAAAATTAAACCAAATTAAACATTATTGCAACAAGTTGAATACACAAGTACTTGTCCAACAAAAATACACGAACTACTGTATCCAACCTGTAACCAATTTAATGAACTAAAATTTTATTTTCCCATTATATAAAGTAGTAGTAGTCTACAATTTTCATAAAAATAATTAAAATGAAACGAACACATGAAAGTAACGTCAATAAATACAAATTACGAACCTTCGGTGTTAGCATTACTAACCCTCAGCCTCAAGGTCAAGATGAAGCACACAACCACTAGAGATAGCACACTAGCTCTTCCCATTTCAATAACACACTCGTAATAAATCCAAAATGCAATTTTGATAATAACAATAAAGGAGCACAAAAATATATCTTTATAACTTGCTTATGGGTTGGATCAACCTTTGAACGTCACTTTTTATAGGCAAACTCGTACTTGTGAGAAAACATTCAAGCCTTACATGTCAAAATACAAAGTTGAAATTGGGGTGAGGGGCAATGACTTTATACATGCAAGTTCACTTTTTTATACTTTTTTTTTTATTTAATTAAGAAAAAGCTGCCTACTAAATTAATGGCCTACAACATATGCAACCTAATTGTCACTAACCTAAGCTTTTGTGATGACTCAATTAGTCAAAAATTTGAACAGTCCAAAATTAGGAAAATGCATGCGCTAATTTATCTATTTTTTAAGTTAATAATTTTTCTATTTGCTATTAAAATTTTCATATAATATATCAAATTAATAATAATTTGAAGAGTGTCTTTTGATATTCATATTTCTTATATAAAATAAATAAATAATTCAATTTTTTATTATAAAATCAAATCATCAGTTAAGACTAACTAAAAATTTATAAAATTGTATATCAATTAAAAAACCATTTACAAATTCAATACATATGAACTAGAAAGCTATCATAATATAAGATGGGCAAATCGTATAAGTGAAAAATCTCATTTAAAATATAATAATAATGTAATTTTTCAAAAAAATATTTAAAATTTAAATAATAAAAACCTCTCTTACATTTTTTTAAGTATTAGTATAATTTTTTAACTAGCACCTTCTAATCACGGGTGTTGTACTAGTCTTATTAACTACTGAACAAAATTATATTTTTACAAAAGGAAATAATTGTGAATAAATAAAACAATGTTGAGTTAGTAAGTTAGTTTAAATTATTATACAAATTGTTTTAGTTGTTAATCTTTAAATATGTTATGTTTAATTAGTAATAATTAACTATCATAAATATCAGATTAATAAATTTATGTATATATTAATATATAGTAATTTATATACAGATTAATCCAAAATGCAATTTTGATAATAACAATAAAGGAGCACAAAAATCTTTATAACTTGCTTATGGGTTGGATCAACCATTGGACGTCACTTTTTATAGGCAAACGCGTACTTGTTAGAAAACATGCACGCCTTACAATCAGTGTTTTGAGACCCGGACCGGTCCGGCGGATCGACCCGGGACCCGGTCGACTTGGAGCCGGAACCGGTCCAGGTGGAGTATTTGGACCGGGCAACCAAGGACCCGGTCAAAATCCGGCCGACCCGGCAGAGACCCGGCCGACCCGGGGTATTGACCCGGCCGGGTCAACCCGGTTGACCAGGTCCATATATATTTTTTATATTTTTTTTTATTTTTCTTTGTTTTTTAAAAATAAGAATATGTATATATGTTTATATGGTAAATATTTATCATGAAATACATATTATTAACACTTTAATATACAAATTTTATACACAAAACATTTAATTTGTTACTTTTATGTATATTTATATAACAAAAATACTCTATATATAATTTTAAAAGTTTTTAATATTAATTATCCGGTTCAGCAATTGACCCGGTGACCCGACGGTTGAGCCGGTGACCCGGTGACCCGAGGACCTGCCCGGGTCGACCACCGGGCCGGGTTTAAAACCTATGCTTACAATGTCAAAATAGAAAGTTGAAATTGGAAGGAGGGGCAATGACTTTGTACATGCAAGTTCACTTTATTTTATTTTATTTTATTAACTTTTTTTTTAAAGAATGACTTTGTACATGCAAGTTCACTTTTTATTTTATTTTATTTTATTAACTTTTTTTTTTAATTTAAAAAAAAAAACACGGCCTAAACATATTCAACTTGTTTGTCACTAACCTAAACCTTTGTGGTGAGTTCAACTAGTCAAAAATTTCAATACTGCTAAAATAAGGAAAATGCATGCGCTAATTTATCTATTTTTAAGTTAATAATTTTTATTCGCTATTATAGTTTTCACTAGTACAACGCTCGTGAACTACACGGGTGTTTGAAGAAAAAAAAATTAATTGTGCAACAAAGAATGAAAAGAAGTAAAATTCTCCATCACCGACTACCTTGACGAAGCCACCGTCCTTCAGATCCGTTTGTCACTGGTCCTGCATCGAGTCGTCAATATCTCCATCGCCATAACCGGCCTTCCTGTCCCCTACCTGTTTATTTTTTTGTTTTTTTTGTGATGAATTCGTCGGGAGGCTACTGGCGGGACGTGGCGGCGTTCTTCGGCGTCGTATAACCGGTCGCCGGCGAGGAGTATGCGGCTGGTGGTCGCTGGTGGGGAGCCATGTGAGGGTGAAGGTGTTTTTATGAATTGAGGTTCATATTTGAGAATTAGATATATAAAAGGGGTTCAGTTGTAATTTTAAAAAGTTTTGTAAATCTCAATTTAATATATGGGTCAAATGCATAATTTATACAAATATATTAAATATACAATGATACTAAATAAATTAGATAATATTTTGTGTGCTAAATGCAAATATAATTGAGATTTTAAGGATAAAAATAATTTACTCGGACCAACTTATTAAATCTTGTGCCGAACAATTTAATTCATCTTTGGTTGATCTTGTGCAATCAGGCAGTCATTAAGGTGCAATGTGTGTAACGTTATTGTGCAATCGCGGTGCATAATAATAATAATAATAATAATAATAATAATAATAATAATAATAATAATAATAATAATAATAATAATAGTAATATAATTCGATCGTTCGGGTATTTCGGTTATCTAAATAAAATCAANCAATCGAAATAAAAATTTCGAACAAAAAATTTGAATTCGATAGTTTTGGTTCGATATTGTGCAATATGATGGTCATTGGTGTGCAATTCGTCTAACACAGTTGTGCACTCATATAGTAGACATTTTATTGATTTGTTAATAACTCAAATATTAATAGTCGGTTAACTGGATTATCCTAAATAATTGAAATAACTTATTATTTGTATTATAGTAAATATATTTCTTGTTTTATTATTTATATTATTTATTATATATTTTTTATTGTTGAAAATACATTACATATAAAATACTAAATTTATAATGTGCATTCTAACATATCCTAATGTGCATTTAGTCTAGCATTATTGTGCACAGACTGTTATTTTTTTTATGTGCAATTTCAATTGTAGAAAACTTTAATGTGTATCTCAATTATGATTTGTTGATGGACGGATCCGATCAACGGTTAAAATAAAATGTGATGGAAATGCGAAATGGAAAGGTGGAGAGAAAATACGAGATAATAACAATTTATTACATAATCACGAGGTCGGCCTCTCGTACGAGGTCGGTACCTTTCTTACAGTTTATTACGGGTATTACAAGCGTTTTAGAGAGAGGGTTTGTTAGTTGAGGATTCAACAACCCAAAAATAAATGAAGTGGATTTCTATTTATAGTGCTCTTAAATGTGACACTGTTCAGGTACTGTTCATCGGTCTCATCGCACAGTGTTGAGGATTCAACAACCCAAAAATGAATGGGGGGCATTTAATGCTGGCAGGCTTTATGTCCTGGCTAACTGCTGTAGAATGACAGGCTACGACGCCCTGTCCAATCACCCATGATTACCATCCAAGTGGTATTATTATATTACTATCGAGCTCCGCGCTTGCCCCTGGAGTAGCCTCTCTGAAGTTTCAGGTCGGCTCCCGAGCTCATTTCCTTCTTCCGGTCTTCTGGATTCTTACTTCAGACCGCTACCTCTTCGAGGTCGGCACCGGCGCTCGAACGACACAAACGCCGAACTCGGGAATAAAACCACATAGATGCGATGGTTAGTTTTGCTCGGGATTCAGCTCGGCACTTGCACACCCGACCGAGTTGCTGGCTCAGCTTTTGGAGTTGCCTTTCGTCCGGTTTCCTTTTCGGGCGAACTCGGATGTCAACATAATTATTAAGCATTTTTATAAAGAAATATATAATATTAAAACCTATTTATTATTTCTAATACTTATATTTAATATTTTATATTAATTTCTTTATTTTACTGTGCAGTCTAAACCGATCGATTTTTTTTTGGGTCCCAAATCATACTGAAACCGAATCGAATTACTCTGTTTATTCGGTCAGTTGACAGAATTATTGAAATAATCTATATAATTTATTAATATTATAAAATTATATTTAGTATTTTAATAAATTTATATTATTTTTGTTTGAAAAATACATAATACATTAAATACAAAATCGATATGTGCATTTGGTTTATTATTATTGTGCATTATGTTGTACGTTTTTTTTTTTCTTGTGCATTTCAATTTTATACAACTTTAAAAATGCATAGTTCAGTGAACATTATTGTGCAGTGTGAGAGTCAATAATGTGCATCTTGTTTAACACTACAGTGCATTATGTGAAATGCAATTTTTATATGCGAAATATAAACTAAAATCGAAACAACATTTTCACTTCAATTGGTTAACCATACTAACATAAATAGTCGAAATAATTTATTATTTTATTTTTATAAAAAATATTTAATATTTTAATATTTGTCCATAAATATGCGTTTGTTAAAAATTTTGTTAAATTATATATTTGTCCATCAATTAAATTGGAAATCAATTTAATTTATGGTTAACCAATTGGCCATTGCAGTGCTGTGAAAATTTCCTCATCAGAGATGTCATTGGCCAAAGATGTCATCACCGTCTCATCACTTGCCGGAAAAAATTTTGTGACATTCCGCGGCACTGTAGAATCCGCCCTAACATTTATGAAATTGCATATATGCCCCTTAACATTATCTAATTTTCAAAATCAATCAAAAGCCTAAATCCCCAAACCAATTGTAGATCTTGTTGCAACACCATGGTCATTCCATCTCAGGCTCAACGGCGACCGGACACCGGAGGAGCTGCACCTCTATCCGACTACACCGCCGCAACCGCTGGGGCCGCGGGGCACAGACACCCGCCTGAGACCTCCGCATATGAGAGAACGATGACAGCCTGAGAC